ACACCACATGAATTGGCTCCAAGTCATATAAAAGCAGCGGTCATCCTCTCTCCCTCACACACGCTCTTCCAGGGCTGGCCTCGTCCTGCACACATGTGGCATTATTGGACATGCGTTGTTCCTTTGTCTAGAGTCGGGCGATATTTGACCAAATCCCTTGTTGTTGACTACGTGTATGCCTTGTTAAGGCTTGTACCTTTTTTTATTTTTCACTATTTATTGAATAGTATCGTACTACACCGATTGTTTTTATCATTGAGATTTGACGTACGCGTCACGACTGGATACAGAGTCAAAGGATTCAGGATACTTGAAACAATAACCTTTCAGTAGTACGTCATCTAGTCGATTATACGCTGCTTACCATAAAGCAGTGAATGACGTGCGTGTTTTGACACAGCGGTCGCCACATCGTGTAGCTCACTTCAAGGACATGCACGAAAACTCAAAAATCTGTGACGAAACCAGCAACCATCTTCGTAAAGGGGACGTTAAAGACCACCCCGATCGTCCGCCTTCCCTTAAAAAACAGGCAGGGCAATGCAGCAGCAGTTCCAGTGGTAAAGCACCATGCACCAACGCCTTTCTCACCAAAATATACGAATAGGGGCGGCTCCCAAGTCATGGAAACGTTTCCTGAACTTTTCCAGAAACGTAACTAACTACACGAACAGATTCCGCAAATCTTCAAGGATGGGATGTATGTGCACACACACCAATGGAAGAGGAAGCAGCAACTCAGTGATAACTACAGAAGAGGCTAGGTTGGACTCTCAATATTGGAGACGATATCTTCACGTGGGTCCAAAGCAGCAGCCTGAAGGCGTACATAGAACAGGGATGCCTACCAGACCAACCGAATAGTCGCTGCAAAGGCAAAATGGCAGGCCTAGCAACACTCCAGTTCGCGGAATAACAAGACAAGTAGTCAACCACGACCATTGCAGTAATTCCATTTGAGTTATGCATATACAGTACGAAGTCAAGACGATCAATCTGCATCTCACAGCACATTACCACTACCACCTGCATCATAACCAGTGAGGACACTCCTGTCATCTCTTTTTCCGTCAACAATGTGGACTCAATTCAAACCTACCCCTTTGAGTCAGGCTTCGGCCTGGTCAGTCACTCATGAATCTGTCACACTACAGTCAGTGACCAACGCCAGAAGCTCCGACATATACCGGTCTCGCTGTCCAAGGACATTCGACAATTGCATGAGTCTACTAGGTCGTACGCGGGTCCATGGAAGTCCTCAGTAGAACAACACTGCTCAGGATGCATGCATCCGTACACGCCTTCCTGCACTACTCAGTAACCTAGTCCACGACACGTGGATATGTAAAAACTCTCAAAAACACATCACTCCTGCAGCAAGCACGCGATCAACTTTGCCAGCATCGAAATGGTAAACGAACCGTCCGGCGTAGAGAACGCAAAAATCCCACTTGAGCGCGGGGGATGTGTCATTGGGTACACTTGGGCAAATGAAGGGGGCACCAGGCCGTGAGTGGCACGCGTAGACGCGCTGTTCAGCCTTCCCAGCGACTCTACCCAAACCCAAAATTAGTTTATTGATACGTTCAGGCAGTCCACTAAGGTATAGGAGAGAATACGGTGGCATCAACGCCGGTGAACCCATTCCCACGGGAGACCAGTTCACTCCTCACCAGGATAAAACTAACGCACTATTTGCTGTGGCTTAGGTTACTCGGTAACAGGACAACTGGGACCTTCAGGGGATTGAGACTCTGGACTGAATTACCTCCTTTTTAATGCATTCTATATGAAATTTGCACATATGTAGGATTCGAGTTACGACCCTTTCGACCTGGCGCATGAGCAATGGGGGACAGTCGCGTGTGGCACATGTATACGGACAGTTTAGTTTCATGAACTACTGCGCCCCAGCCTATCTCCGGTCATCCTAGTACGGTGAGAGGGTGGCAGATACTGCGCAAATTTGCTCCACTACAAATTAATTCACACGTAAGTTATCTGTGCTGCTCCCACTTTGTGGGGCACGAGAATGACGTTGCGGTT